AGCTGTAAACTGGAAACCTGTGCCCGTTGACCTCCATAGTATTTGTTTTTCCAACGGAAATTGATGTTTACAGGTTTTCAGCTTTCTTTAAAATATTTTCTTTAGCATCAAACCAAAAAATTCATAAAGGTTTGGAACAAATTCAAACTAATGAGTAAATAGTGAGCAAATGTTCACTTTTGACCTATCCTTTTGAATAATTCATATAAAACACATTACAAAGTTTCCTGTTTTTGGATGAAAACATTGTTGCGTAAACAGCCCCTAACTTAGTGTTGTATAACTCACAGATTGCAGTTAAAGTCATTAGCTAAATCTATAAAGACTAAAGTCCTCTGTATGGTTTAGGCAGACAAAAAAAAAAATTAAATTAGTAGCAATGTATAGATTAATAAATATACGATGAACATGTACATTGTTGTAACACTTTGTGAAGCTTATTTATAAACTAATTTTGAGAGGATCAAGTGCTTATGATTGACACAGCTGGCCCCGAGTAAAGCTAATGTAAGAACCACCAATCAGTCGATTTCTAACCAAAGCATCTTACCGTTAGTCATCTTCGTCTTGAAGAATCCCCCCTTCCACCACCTCTCCTCCTCTTTTTCCTCTATAGGGCAGCACTCTGGCCCAGTGGCTCGCACTGTGGCCTCACAGTGAGAATTCCTCAGGTTTGGGTCTCTACCCGGTCAGTTGGCATTTTTCTGTGGAGTTCATGTTCTCCTCGTGCTCCCGTGGGTTTTCCCCTGGTCCTCCGGTTTCCTCCCACAGTCTAAAAAATTAGACATAAGTAAATTGACTAAACCAAATCAGCACGGTAGTCAATTTTCACCAGCAACACACCCTCAGAGCAATCCTTAAGCAGCAGGAGATGGAGGGGTTCTTGAGATCTACCTGAGCTCAAACTCCCCACTCGCCATGCAAACGGGAGGGAGCCCCAGGCTAGAGGATCTCATGAGCTCAGGGCTCTCTCTCGGGACAGCATGCCAAACTAGCTCATTACCAATCATCTGCTAAGTGTGAACTCTTGAAATTAAGTAAAACTGTTTTGTGAAAAGGTCCATAAATGTATATGGTTATATGTGAAGCTAGGACTGTGTGATTTAGGAAAAATATCTAATTGCGATTTTTCTGACAGATATTTCGATTGAGTTTTGGTTTGCGATTTAATTTTGTAGTTGTTTTATTTTATTTTTTTATTGTGCACTTTCCGTATATTTAGTTGCGCAAATCTGTTCGGGAAGAGCAAAAGTCTGCTCACTCAATTGGCAAGTAAGACTGTCACACACAGACGGCAGTCACACATTCGCTCTGGGCAGGGAAAGTAAAATAATAATTTTTTAATATTTGATATTTCATATCACAGCCTCTTGCGATTTAGCTAATTTTAGCGTCTCCAATTGCGATTTGATTTTAAATAATCGCACAGCCCTATGTGGAGCCATTCATTTTCTTTTTTTCCCCAGTTGTATTGAATGTGGCAAATGTCTGTGACCATTAAATGCATTTTTGCTCAGAAATGCATATTGGTTCAGAATAATAGCTTTGAAGTGCACATAATTGAACAGCTGCAAATACAAAGATGTTTTCAAGTACTATAACAGAATATGACTTGTTTTTGTGAACTTATCTTGACAAACAATATTGATTCAATCATGTGCAAACACATGCCTAATGTAGAAAAAATGTTGACGTGATTAAATAAGGCTTAGTCATCATTAGCAATGGACCTAGGAGTTCACCCTGAGGCACTCCTTTGCTTTTCATTCCCCAATCGCAAGAGATCCTGCTGCGTGTCTGCCCTTTGACCTTGTGCCTCATCAACAACAAGCATAACACATTTTCAGATCTTCTCCAACAACATGTAACTTGAGCTGATGTACGTCTGTGTACAGTTCAGTAACCTCCAGGTTTGTTGAAGCTGTTGCTCTGTACGTGTCTTTCTCATTTAAATTCCTCCTTCAGTTGGATGTCAACAATGGAACAACAGATATAAGGTTCAGAGACTTGTAAAATGCCTTTTGTTGGTGGAATACCACCCAAATCCCTCTCCACAGGCTTGGGTTCTAATTGGGTTTAAATCTTTTAGGGCATGTGGGTCTGGTTTCACACTGGATTAGGTCACACAGCATACATGGTCCTGCTAAGCCTTTGTAATGTTCTGGTACCCTTTGCTTGCTCTGTGAAAGGACAAGGTTGGGGTTGACACGTATCACAGGTGCTGCTCCAAAGAGCTCTCCCAAAGAGTTTCTTTAAATACAACACTTATGCTGTCGTGCATGCATCTTTATCTTTTATTTTTGGTTAGTTGTTATTGGGCGCCACTCCAGCATAAGTTCAGTGGATAATTATTGTGATTTCAGTCAGCACTGTGCCAAAAGCTATTTTACTTGGGATAATTGTTTGTACAGCACTTGTACTGTATGGCTTTTCACAAGTGCTTCAGTAAAATTTTGAGTAAACCATACTATAATACATAACCATAAATTTTCTGTAAATGCACCGTCCTGGTGGCAGTAAGTGTGTCTATACTCTCCTGATCTATTCTTTGGTGTCAGTAGTGCCTTTGCACACATCTGCCAGCCACCAGTGTCATTTGCTCTGCTGCTCTTCATACTTTTATCTTTGCCATGATGAGAGTACATAATATTTTACTATATATTTTCAAGACACTTCTATACAGCTTAAAGTGACATTTAAAGGCTAGGTTAATTAGGCTAACTAGGCAGGATAGGGTAGGTAATTAGGCAAGTTGTTGTATAATAAGGGTTTGTTCTGTAGAATATCGAAAAAAAAGTAACTTAAAAGGGGTAATAATTTTGACCTTAAAATGTTTTTTTTATTATTATTAAAAACTGCTTTTATTTAAAAAAAAAAATAAATAAATATATATATATATATATATATATATATATATATATATATATATATATATATATATATATGGGGGAAAAAAATAATATATATATATCACACTTATCATCTTAAACCATGATAGATGAAAAATCATGGTTGAAAAAGTGAAGTACTCTTTTCTGAAGTAATGCCAGCACAATGTGACAGTTTCCATGCAATGTCATAAATATCGTAAATTTCAGTTTGTGATTGACCTAAATTGGTTATAATTTAGCATTGAGAAATTATTTTAGTGATGATTAGTTTGATGATTAGTTTGACCATTCTCGCATGATTTGGCACAAAGTGATGAGCCAAAATTACCACTGCAGCTTATTGGACATATTCTTTAATCTTTTGTCTTATTTAGCTTTAGTCTCATTTTTGGGAAGTGTGTTGCAGCCACCAAGTCTAATTTGTTTACATTTTGAAAAGGCATTTAGGTTTTTCTGTTAAAACGATGAAGAACTTTTTTTCTACTTTTTAATTAAATACACCTTAAAGAGAATCACAGACTAATTTCATAGCATTTTACTAAAGCTGTCAACTTGTCTTTAAACTGGTGTTGTAAGAGATAAGCTAATTAAAAAAAGAAAACAAGATTTAGAAGTAGTTGGATTTAAAACCTTGGTCCATCCTTAAAATCCACAAACGCAGTGAACCCATAGTGAACCCTCTCTGCTAAGCTGTCATTAAGGAAAAAAAAAAACATCTTGCTTTTTGAGCAAAAATAAATAGACTGTCCCATTACCTTGCCTGTAGACACTGCAATGTTTGGCTTTCCTTTGCATTTGCTGTTCTGCATGGATCCTTGGTCAATAATTCTCTAATAATAACTATGATTTCAGCTTCATACATGCTTCAATACACACACATGAAAAGCCAGAGCTACTGTACTTCTCTGTTTACGAATATAACTTGACATGATTGATGTCTACATGCTGTTTCTTTTATAATCCTTCCAGACATGTCTACACTGTAAATACTTATTATAAGATTACCACAGTTATTTTGGGAGTTATTATATAAATATTATTTATTTAAATATGCTTAATATTGGGGTAAACAAGTTAGGGTTACACTTTATTTGACTTCTTTTGTTTGTTTTTTTACTTCTAGTCTGTTACTTTTCTGCATTTTCCATGCATACTTACTACAGTAATAATAATAGATTATGCATTGCTAACATAAACATAACTACCATCTTAATCCTAACCATAGAAACAAAATAGACGCCATAAAATGTTAAAGATGATGTAATTATGACTGTAAGGCAAAGTTGTACATTAAAAAATAACTTGGTACTTGTTCAAACTACATATTTAAAATGAGTTGAAGCAACAAAAGTCTCAAGTTTTTTTGGGACAACTTGTTTTAGATTCAATCCACTTGAATTTGTTAAAAATAATAATAATTTGAAGTTAATTTGATCAATTTGTGTAGCGACAACATAAGGAATTGTGTGGAACCCATATTTTTTATAGTGTACAGAGTAGAAAAGTTAAAATATTGTAATTTGCCATCATTTGTCATTGCAAGACTATATTTTTTATATCATTCTATATCTAAAATCTTCTGTGAAAACACAAAGGTAGGCATTGTATAAAAAATATCTGTATTGTTTTAGACCCCATTGACTAATTACATTGGGCAAAAAAAAGTCCTCATATGGGATCCACACAAAAGAAAGTTAGAAAGAGCTCATAAAGTAAAGGTCGAGCTCACTTAAAAATGTACATTCACTCATCCTCCAGCGGTTCTAAACTTTGAACTTTTTTCTTCTGTTGAACTAAAAAAATATATACTGTAGAATGTTGTAAACTAGTAGCCATTGACATTTATAGTAGGATCAAAAATTCTATTGAAGTCAATTGCAGTTTTTTTATTTTTCATCTCAACATTCTTAATACACAAATCTTTCTGTGTTCCTTGTGTTCAACAGAAGTAAAAACTCAAACAGGTGTGGAGCAAGTGAACTAACTTGTTGAACAGTCTTGGAACAAGTTAACAGTACACTAATACTTATTGTAAATTGATGTAATATATAGTAGTGTGTTAGTTTTATTTGCTTTGTTCAATGTCTCAATGAATATCTATATCTACAGTGTACAAATCGCCTGAATATGAGTCTTTGGGCTTTGATCTGACTGTGGAGCGACTGGTGTCCATTGGCTACCCACAGGAACTTCTCGGGTTTGTTTATGATCCGACTTTCCCTACAAGGTAATAAACTCTCGTTGGCAGACCATATTTTAGACAGTTATCAGTACCAGGATCGTTTTATATTGCATTTAGAGGCTAAGTAGCGCTCCCTTTATGGTCTGTTCCTACAGAGGCCTGGTGTTTGACAACATGTATGGCAATCTCCTGAAGGTAGATGCTTACGGAAACATCCTGGTCTGTGTCCATGGCTTTAACTTTCTGCGAGGGTGAGTACATGTAAATGGGCTTGGTTACTGCCCTCTGACAAAACGTGTGGAGTATGTGCTCATAATGTCCCTCTGTTCCCTGCCAGGCCTGACATC